GAACATATAGAAATTTTTGCAAAATGTATTTTTTTTAAATATTCTTTAATAAATATTCTTTAATAAAACGATGTGTATTTGATAGAATACACTTCTAAAATATACTGAAAACTATCCATTTATTTCAGAATAAAAATTATTTATTCCAATTCCATAACTATCATACTTGTTTCGTTTTCTCCCATATAATGCAAATCATTTTAGTAGCATTGTAAATATATATATATTTTAGCAATATTACTTCTGTGCTATATGGATTAGTTATACATAATTTAATTTCAAATTTATGATTATTTATTGATTACCGTTACACAAGAATTTTTTAGTACATTTTAAAATTTATTCTATCGATTATAAATTTTATTTTTAAAAATTAATATATTTCGCAAAAATTTTTTTATGCATTTTTTCACTTCTGACCATAATCCATGACGATCGCATTGAATTAACAGGAGCCTTAAAATGTTTAAGAAAATAGAAATATGTATTTTAAGTAATAAATAATTAATTATCATTATAAGCAAAAAATGTCAACAGTTCCATTTATTTTTAACAGTTAATTTTTTTAACTGTTTTTATAGATGGAAAACAGAAAATAAAATAATTACGAATTAATTTTGTAAAAAAGCCTTTATTTTTTTCACTTAGAATAACAATTTCTTATTCTCGAGGTCTGGTGTCTTTATATAATATTAGAGGTAGCCAACAGTAAGGGTGCGTCCCCCATGAAGAAAGAAAAAGCAAAATACAATAATAACGGAAAAGAAACACAGTAAAAAATTAATCATGGGGAGTCCGAGTGTAAAAAAGCGGAACGGAATCATTTTGATTAGTTTAGCCTCCCTCCTCCCTTTTATCATGTTTCTTTTCCATTATTATTCTATTCTGTTTTTTCTTTCTCCATGAGAAAGACGCACTTGTATCATTCAAATATTATGATAATAAATTGTAAAATATACTGAAAACTATCCATTTATTTCAGAATAAAAATTAGAATTCGTAGAATAAGAATTCGTTTTCTCCCATATAACTCAAATCATTTTAGTAGCATTGTAATATACGATATTTACGTTGCATTTTGAGATTGCGAGAAAAATAATTTATAAGTACTTCTATATATATTTAATATTTTAGTCCAAGCATGTTTGGTAGCATGTTGGACTCCTCGCGACACGAGCTTTTAGCAGAAGCAATGAAAGCCGGAACGCCCTTCGCTTTATGGAATGGACCAACGGTAGTCGCCTGGTTAGAACTTTGGGTGGGCATGCCGACGTGGTATGTCGCTGCTTGCCGAGCAAATGTCAAAAGTGGTGCTATCATGAGTGCTCTTAGCGATACCGAAATTCAACGAGAGATTGGTATAAGGTACGCTGTAAAATTTATGTAAAAAAAAAATTTTAATAAATATTAATTATAATTTTAATGTTAATTATAGATTATAATTATGACAATAAAACAGTTCTAGTTTACTGTAACATTATTATCATGTCTACAATTGTTTTTTGTTCTTTTGTGAAGCAATCCTTTGCATCGATTAAAACTGAGACTAGCCATTCAAGAGATGGTGTCGCTTACGAGTCCATCAGCGCCGAAAACTTCTCGCACAACATTAGCATTTGGTGATATGAATCACGAGTGGATTGGTAACGTCTGGTTACCGAGTCTCGGACTGCCTCAATACCGATCCACTTTTATGGAGTGCCTTGTTGATGCTAGAATGCTTGATCATCTTACAAAAAAGGATCTTCGTGGTCAGCTGAGAATGGTTGACAGTTTTCATAGGTACGAAAAGAACAATGCTAAATAAGGCACTTACGGCATCATTTAAGGTTTCATTAACATTATTATCTTGGAAAAATTTTAATAAAATATTAATGAAAATTTGATAAACTTGACGTTTAAAATGATTAAGTTTCAACGAATATGCATTAATCAAAAACAAAAAGGGAACAAGGGGCTATCAGGAATCAGCACTGTAAGTGATGGGTATAAAATTATTACAGAAATTGACATCTAAAAAATGTATAAAACGAACATTTTGAATAATTTCTAATTCCCTTCAATAAAAAATTTAGTTATGATTTACATTCTTCGTGTAACAAGCCTTGTAGACTGCAGTGGTCAACTTTCAAATACACTAAAATGTGTTTCTCCATTTCAATTGGCAACACTGGATTATCACAAAAGATTAAAACCTTAAAGAATAAAAAACCTTAAAAGAATAACAATTGTTTACAAAACTAACAAAATTAATTATGTATTCACATATGATTCAATAAATTTCTTATTGTTTAAAATTACATGTACAGGAAAGCTCTCTATTATGAGATAGGCGCTTAATATGAGATGGCGGCGTTTCTGCTAAATTAATAAACGTATCTATTGGTTCCACCATGAGTTTATCGCTCTTGAATTGAAAATTATTTAGTATTTAGTATTTAGTGGAAAATTCATTATTAAAGCATGCCTGTGATTGTAAAAAAAGATTTTAGAATTTGGATGTCTTTAAATTTGATTGAAATTGTGTGAATAAACAAGATTTAAAAATTCATGTTAAATCTTGTTTATTATTTAATAAATAAATATTAAGTGCTTGAATGAATTCTCGCTGTTTTTCTTTTTTTACAAAAACTTATGTTCATTTCATTAAAAAGATACCTGATATTTTATTTACAATATTGTCCATTGAAAACTATAATCTTTTCTCATTTTCCGAGTAATAAATGGATTCCGCAGTAGAAAAATTCAGGTTTTTTTTTAAGGCGATTCAGTCATTTTTTAATATCTTCGAAATAACTGAAGTGCTGCTCAAAAAGATCATGCTACATTGACTGAAATAAATGGTAATCTGAAGGAGCAACGTCTGATGAATAAAACAAGTGAAATCCCATTCAAATGCCTCTAAGATTTCCTTCACTGATTCTACAACATGTGATCTAGTTGTCATGAAAAAAAATAATTTTGTCATGTCTTTGAGCATTGCAGGCGTTTTTCTTTGAGTGTTCGATTCAAATTGTGTAATTGACGTTGGTAGCGTTCAGCACTGATGGTTTGACTCATTTGCAGCAGTTCATACTACATCAACTTGATCTTACCAAATGCACAGCATGAATATCCTTTGGCATTAAATGTTGATAGTAGATCGTCGGAATGCACTCATAATTTCTTGTGCTTAGGATTGTCGTAACGAATCCATTTTTCATCGCCATTTTTCATCACAGTCACACAGTTCGATGCAAAAACGACTTCCGTTTTTGTCTTTGAAGCAACAATTCACAAATGGCTAAATGTTTTGCAATATCTCTTTCTCTCAATTCATATGGGATCCAGTTTCCTAGCTTCTGGATCATTCCCATTGCTTCTATTCTAAATTCGCTAAGACCGATGACCAAATTACAGTTTTGAACATAAAATTTTTCTCTCATCTCATTTCTAAGAAAAATGGGGATTGCGTTAAAAAAACATAAATTTCCCCATTTGACTTTAAAAAGAGGATCAAGATCAAATCTATGTTTACCTGGTGGTTATTCTACCCACATGATAACTTCAGATCGAGTTATTTTCCATCGTAATGCATTGCTGAGTAGGTGGCAAATTAATTGAATTTTGTTAAGACTACTGTGAAATCGCCATCTTAGATACATCATTTTAAATTCAGAAAAAAGTCAGATGGTTTTGGAAAGTGGATGTCACAAGCTTTATTTAATTTGAGCCGTCGCAGACCTCATTTTTTTCAAAACTGTTCTGGACAGGGGAGGTTCACTTCACGGAAAATATATATATTAGGGAAGGAGGAGAAGGTAGATCAAAAACAAAAAATTTTTGAAAATCGATTAGCAATACTTCCCCCTCCAAGTTAGCTATGAATCAATATGATTCGGGTAAAATTTCATCGAAATCGATTAATATTTTCAGGTTGCTTCTCAATTTCGAAATTAGTTAGTTATGCATTTTTTGGATACATATGTCAAAATTCGAAAAAATATTTGAACTTGTATTGAAATCAGCAGCAACTTTAAATTAAAATTACGATTTATCGTTAGCTTTTTCCTAGGTGTACTGGACCTTAATCGAAAAAATATTTAAAAATATAATTTGATACAACTTGTTCTCTTTTGATTACTGAACATGAATCGAGATCAGAAGAACACATTTCAAAATGGTGATTTAATATGATGATATAAAATAATAATTCTTATTTCATATCACCTACATCTAATCAACCTAAATCAAATAATAAATCATACCTGATTAAACCTAACTAGGATAAAATAGTATAGTACATAAAATAATTTAAAAAATAACAATTAATAAAAGGGTCACAAGTCAAGCTAGGTATTCGTTGTTAACTTAATATTCAAGAAAACTCACAAACAGTTTCAATCTGTTATGCAACAAACAAAAATTACATGAAATCGTTATAAATTATTTCCATCTGTTTATTTCAATTCAATTCTTACGCATTATTATTACATAGATATTCGCTTTTAGCAGTCGCTTTTTTTTACAATTATTCTGTGTTTTTTCAATATTTCAAATTGCTATGATTCCTGGTTATTTTGCTTAATCTCATTGTACTAAGAATATTTTATTTCTAAATAGATAATAAAATAATCGCTACAAAATTGAAATTAAATTAATTTATAAACTGTCTGTATCATACGTATATGTATAATAAACTAAAATAAAAAAAAATTAATGAGTAATACCTGGATAGTCAGCAATTACATAATTTATCTATAAGACTTCTTAAAATCGGAGAATTCAAAAAATTATTGTAATATGTGTCATGTTAAAAATGAGTAACGTAGAAAGTAAGAGAGCAATTACAAACGATGAAATTTAATATTTTTTAAATTTTAATTATTTGAACCCTTTTCTAATTCCTTACATAAAATAACATTTCAAATAAACCCAACATTGGCAACAGGAAAATTTGAGAACAAATTACAATTACATTTATTTATTAACATTTGTTTGTATATACAATCATACATTTAATTAAATCATGGTATTTAATAAATGTGCAATTATACAAGCACATGTTATTAAATGTAATTTGTTCTCAAATTTTCCTGTTGCAAATGTTGATTATTTAAATCTAAAATATTATTTTATGTATTATACTGTATTATATTTTATCTTGGTTTGATTAGGTTTAATCAAATCTGATTTATTTATTATTTGATTTAGTTTTCCCTTAGCTTGATTAGATGTAGGAGATATGAGGAAATAATTATTATGTCATCATATTGGATCCACCATTTTGAAATATGTACTTTTGATCTAGGATTCATCATGTTCAACGATAAAAAAAAACAGGTAGGTAGTATCAAATTATATTAAAATTGAAACTTTTTTTTAAATTTTGACATATGTATTCAAAAAATACCTAAACTTCCCATACAACACAGAAATTTCAGAGATATTTCAGAAATGTTTCACATGTAATTGAAATATCTGAAATATCCGCAAAGATGTATAATTTATTACATATGAAAGATTTCAGAAACTTAACTGAAAGGTTTGCAAAACGATTTTATGTGAAATGTTTCAGAAATAATTGAAAGTTTTTTACTTAAACTTAAAGAAACATTTCTGCAGCAACATTTCATGACATATTGCAAAATTATTTTAGGATTGTAAAAATATAATATAGATTTAAGGGGGCTACTTTGGAGTCAGCGCGGTAAGAGATGCGTATTCAGTCGGAAAGTGAGAAAAACACAAACACTTTCCGAGTGGATAGATGATATTTTTTATTAATGTATTAATTATGTATTTGCTGAAGATAGTTAAAATCGATAGTCGAAACATTCAAACTAACATCTTTTAATACACATTAATTTAATACACTATTAATGATTATATAAGTGTAGATTGCGCACCTCTTACCGCGCTGACCACAAAGTAGCCCCCTTAATCTGTATTGTATTTTTACAATTATTAGAAGTCCTATTTTATATATATATATATTCTTTATTCTAAAGT